GGCGGGGCAGGGCGGACCACCCCTACCACAGGCAACACACCAAGTAGGGGTCCTGGGGGCAGAGTCCAGGATGTTGGAGTTGTGGGGGGAATGGGAGGGGGCAGAGGTGGCTGCTTCACTGGGGGTGGGACGGGTTCACCTTCCCCAGCCATCTTCACAAATACTTGCCCCAGCTTGTTGACAAGGATGATTTTGGATGTGGCAGGTTTGGGGGGCTCAGGGGCAGGGCCCAGGCTCAACACTCGGACCCCTGGGGCCCCAGGGAGCCAGGCAAATGTCCGGGTGGGGTCAGCTGGGCTAGGGGGCAGGCCCTGGGGGGGCTGGCTGCCATTTGCTAGGGGAGGTGCCAGGGGAAGCGACTCCTCTCTGGGAGCAGCACCTCCCTCTCCAGGTCCCCCTAGGTTCTTCAACACAAAATCCACAATTTCTGACGGCAGGTCCTCAGGAGGTCGGGTCCTATCTCCTGCAGCCCCAAGGACCCCAGCTCGGCCCACTCCTGGCCCTGAAGGAGGAGTCCCCTGGCCCCGAGGCTGCTGGACTGCTTCAGCCTCACTGTCAGTGCCGTCGTCCACTCCGTCCAGCTGTTCGATGCGAGGAGCTGCAGCAAGGGTGCCAGGGGCCAGAGCAGGGCCAGATACCACGGTCACAGGGAAGTGAACGTAATGGGTGGTGGGGCTGGTCTCCTCCTCTGAGCTGTCTCCTGGACCACCATGGCTGCCACCCACAGCCCCTGCAGCCACAATCTCTTCCTGGAAGGGTTCGGTCCCCAGCAGGCTAGCCGCAAAGTCCAGGTCAGCAGCACTCAGTCCTGACACCACCTCCATGTCCTCGAAGTCTGGGCCCAGGTCATCAGGGGGTGGTGGGGGAGATGGGGCTGGGCCAGGGGGAGCCAGCTCCCCTGAGGTAGGTGTGAGGGCTGTAACAACTGAGGTAGGAGGAGGCACCCTGAGCTGAGGGGAGCTTCTGAGAGGAGGGGAGGCCCGCCTTGATGAAGGTGGCCTGGGGGTCAGTGGGCTGGGACGACGGGAGCGTCTTGGGGGAGCTGGGAAGTCCGGGTCTCCTACTGTAGGGATGTGATGGGTCAGAGAAGATGGACTTCCTGCGGGGGGGTAAAGGGTTAGTGTCAGTCAGCAGCTCCTGCTTGCCCCATACCACCTTCTCTAGACACTCCCAGGTGCTTACCAGGGGAGGGCAGGGGACCAAAGGAGACACCCCCCAAGGGCCTCCGGGATGGTGAGTAGTTGGGCACTTTGATTCGAGCCCCTGAGAAAGAACGGGGGGCTGGAGGAGGAGCACTGCTTGAATCTGGCCGAAGTGGGGGGTCCAGGTTCTGAATGGGTGAGTGGTGTTCAGGAGCTCCAGGGGTAAGGCCATCTGTATCTGGTGATGGGTCCTCATGATCTGGGGGCTCTAAGAGACAAAAGAGCCACATCGGGGTTGGCGGGAGCACCTCGTAAAGCCTGTCACATGCCTTCCCTTGAGTCAGCTCAATAGTCACACATGCACTGGTTTCCAGTAACCACCTGGGCTCTACACTCCATCTGTGGCATCTGTAAAACCTCCACACATACTTGGGTAGGACCACTTTCATGACCTCCCCTCACTCTTGCTGCCATCTCCCCACTTCTTGGCAGCTACTGTTCTGATTCAGGCCTCAATGCTACAAGGGACAATGTCCTCTCCCTGGCACGGCCAGTCCTACCACTTTCTTGCCGGCTCTACACATCCATCTGTGCCACATCAAAGGCATCCACCCCATCCTGGCGCTGGAGGCCTCCACTCCCTGGCTCCACCCAGTCTTTGCAGCTGATTTCTGCCTCCTCCCATCACTCCCTGTTCCCAGTCAGGACAGGTGCGCCTTCTTCCCCGCTCCACCAGGTCATGTTCCAACCTGGATAAAGCCCTGATCCACACACACCAAACCTCTTCTTCTCCTGCGCCCACAACCTCTCCCTTTGCTAATCTCTGAACCCATTCTTTACTCTGTGTCACTCAGCTCATGGCTATACCCTAGGCCAGCTTGGTCATCAGGGTGCCAGTCTGGGAGCTGAACAGATCCAGGTTCAAATCCTGTCTCCACTACTGCATCTGCCCCTGAAGGTGCATGCTGCAGAGCCTATGCCTTGCTGAGGGCTGGGGAAGCATTCCCCCACGTGTAATTCCTCCAGTGAGGGAGCCATCCCTACAGTGGTCCACAGGCACCATGCTCTGGAGTAGGTGGCATGGTGCTCTCGCTTCCCTGTGAAATGGTGAGCAAAGCCTCTGGCACATAACACACAACCAGTAAGCCATCTGCTGTTGCTGTTACAAGAAAGATTAGCAAGCACCCTGAGTTTCTTCAGGGCAGAGGGAAATAGAGCTGGTAAGTAGGCAGTACTCAAGGAAGAAAATAAGGCAGTAGCAAGGCCACACCTGAGGAAGGGGCAGGGCTGTGCACTATGGTCTGGTTCTCCTCCGCTGCCTCCAGGTGAGCTGGCTCTTCCCTCGGCCCCCACGGCCGATACTCCAGAATTCGGCACCGATACCAGCAGCGCCTCCGAGCATCCACTGTGCTCCAATACAGACGGGAGCACCTGGTGGTGAACGTGTGGGACATGAAGGTAGGGCCATGTGGGGAGGGCGCTCCCGCCCCGATGTCTCCCAACTCCACCAACCTCCCCAGCCTGCTCACTGGTAGCCGATGGGAAAGAGCCGTCCCTCGCAGTCTGAGAGATCAGACAGAGTACCCAGAGAATCGATTCGGATAGAGCCTAGAGTACAAACATGATGTCAGGACGGGTAGGCCAGGCAAGGTCAGAAAGACTAGGGAGGAGATATATATTGCTTACCAATGAGCACATTGATGGCATCAGGTTCGAGCCCTGTCAAGAACTTTCGCTTGAAGTTGATGCCTTCAAAATCCACATAGACTCGGCGGAGAACATCAAAGCCATCTGGGGTCACGATCTCCTAGGAGGCGGGTGATGGATGGGAGTTGCTGGATTGGTGGGGATGAGGGGGATTTGAGGGAACAATTCTGTAGTAAAAAATGGAAGGGGCTTGGCCTGAAGGACTATGGGTTCCAGAACATACAAGGAGGAGCCACTGAGAGGAAGCAAGGGTCAGGCTTGAGGGGCCCTGGGGCCCCTGAGTGGAAAGAGAACAGGGCACAAGGAGCTGTCTCCTCCACAGTTCTGGCCCACCTTGCCATCCAGGAGGTCTGTGTGTTTCTGGCAGAAAACTTTCTTGTCATCCTGGAAGATGCAGTAGCTGGCCCGGGCACACATGAAGTGGAAGTTGCTGAGGCAGGAGGAAAGGCAGCAGCCTACCGTGGCTCCTGGCTTCAGGCAGAGCTCACAGCGCTGCGGGTGGAAGGGGCTGCTAAGGGGAGAAGCCAGTGACCGGGGCCGGAGTCCGATGCTCGGCATCGCTGTCTTGGAGACGCTGCTTAGGCGCGTCTAGCCCAGCACCTGGCACAGTGAAGGCACTCACCAAACAAAACCTCTTCCCCAACTGCACCCAGAGCCAGACGCACACCAGAACTACTCCAGATTTTCTGAAGCTGAGGAAGGTAGTAGGGAGAAAGCTAACGCCAGCCAGCACTTACTGAGTGGCATCTAACCCTCCTTCACGTCTTATCGTGCAACTTGTACCATTCTATTTAACCCTCACGATTGCTCCCATAGGAGGTATCCCTAGAATCCCGACTCCTGGCAGTGAGTCTGAGGCATTCTCCGGTACCTGGCCCAGGACCAGGTTAGAATCGCCCCCCGCAGGAGGGGGACAACACCTGTCCTCATGGGGAGGTAGGAGGAGCTGTGCCATACTGACCCTGTGCTGTATGCTTTCCGTTCAATCGACAGGGGTCTAACTTTTACCCTCCTGTGCTTCAGGCCCAAATTACAGCCAAGGAACACCAATAGAGAAAAAGCCACTATCACTGCAGCCCCAGGGTCCTGAGACAGCCAAAAATGTACCCAGGAGCAGCAGTGGAAGACCTGCTCTGATAGGGAACGTAAGGAAAGAGCTGTGCCCACTGAAAGGTCCCACTCAAGACTCCATGGCTGCCCACCTCTCACGCCCAGGCTCTCACCATCTGCCTTCCTCGAGCCACAGCTGCATGCACATTCTTGAGGGACCCGTCGTTCTCCTCAAACACTTCAGCTGACCAAATGGCACAATTGACATGAGTCCACTCATTCTGCCCGATGTACAGAAGCCGCCCTGCCTCCTGGAGGCAGGATAAGAGCAATGTGACGGGGAGACCCAGGGTCCAGGCCGCTCCACCTAAGGCTTCCCGCAGCAGCCCTCACCTTGGAGTCTGCATCTCCGTATTTGAGGCAGAGCGCACACTGACGGGGGTCCTCCAGATGTGAGAAAGCAGCTGGATCCTTGCCTTGGAAAGCTGGAAAGGATGTGGACAAGGAGGTCCCAGAATCAGGACCCAGAGCCTGGTTCAACTCAGGGCCCTTGGCTTTCAGCCCCCATTTCCTAGTACCTGCTGATGGATCCCCTGGAGGCTGCCCTGATTCTGGGGTCTCCAGTTCCTGCTGTCTCCACTGAGCATAGACATGGTCCAGGGATGGGGGCAACACCGCATTGGGAAGGACTCCACTGTGAAGAGGCAAGATCAGCATCTGACATGTCTAACAAGAGCGACTAGACTGGACCCGCCTACATTTCAAGCCTAAATATGCCATGACACCCTTTGTTCTTTCTCCATGAGGACTTTTTCTTAATCCCCCACATAAGCCAGGCCTTTTTGTGCCACCTTTGGCATACAAAATGCTGTTCTTCGTGCCTGGTATATTCTTCCTCCACATCTTAGCTCAGATGTCACATCTTCCAGGAAGCCTTCCCTGATCTCCAGGCTCACCAGGTGCCTCCTCTGGGCTCCTATAGCCCACTGGTCTTCCCCATCACGGCTGAGACCATCTGGGTCATGTCCAGTCCCCCAAATATGAGCCTGTTAAGCACAGTCCAATCTTATGTGCTCCCTGCTATCTCCAACACTGCCTTATACAAAGCAGAAAAAAAGTGAGAGCTAACCACACAGCATCTGCTTTTACTAGTCTAGACCCATTAGAGAATCTCATCCTGGTTCCACCACCCTCTTCTTCAGCCTCCAGACCCTAACTCTGCTCATTTATTCTTGGCCCAGCTTGACCCCTGGATTCCCAGGTGCCCGTGCCTCTGCCCTCACTCCCTGGTCCCCTCCTGCTACCCAGCCTTGCTCACTTCGGCAGCCGGGTACTCCGTCGCCAGTACTTGGGGTCGTGGGCGTCGAACCAGCCGAACGCAGACTCTAGCAGCTGGGGAGTGGGTTAACAGGATGAGAAGAACTGGCTTCCCCAGGAGAGTTGGCGGGGGCAGGGTCGAAAGGACCCACTCTCTCCCCCCACTACCACACAAACCACCCTACAGGCATCCCCCAGAGAGCTCACCTTCAGTAGGAGCCCCTTCATCTGGCCTCCTGCCCGGCGCTCCAAGGTCTCCCCTTCTTCTGAGTGCCTTGTCAGGATGCCCACTATGTCCTCCATGAAGCTGTGCTGTAAGGGGTTTGTCAGAGTCTGAGCCCCCACTCCAACCCCAGCCCTCTCCTTCCGGTGCCCACCTGCTCCTCCCTGCATTCCACTCACCACGGACTTGTAGTGGCCTTCCTCAAAGCGCTGACTCACAGCTTGCAGATCACAGGGGCCTGCATGCAGCTGCTTCTCATCCTGCCCACACTGCGAAGAGGGGAAGTCAGCAGGGCTAGTGCAGAGTCTGTGCCCGTCCCGTCCCACTTCCTGGGCTGTCCAGACCTGGGTACACAGCAGCAGTGGGCCCACCACCTTGGAGCTCAGCAGGCCCTGGAGCACCTGGCGCAGACCCCCCTGTAGCGCTCCACTCAGGGCCTCTCGCCAGCGGGGCTGTGTGGCCCCAGCACATGGTCCACAGGTATACAGCACCGAGTCTGGCAGCCCCGAAAGGATCTCGTAGTCTTCATCTAGACGAGCCAGGGTGAGAGAAGTGGTTTAGGTGGATCTGAGGCCTCCAGCTGCTCCTCGACTGCCAAGGACATTCAGCCCACCTGTCCTCTAAAGGCCTACGGTGGGGGGTAGGGCTCTTGGGTTAGGCCTCCCAAGTACTCTGCCTACTCACCTGAGAGCCCCTCGCACTTTGCGTGTACCCAGTGGTCGCACTGTGCACACTGCATCATCTTGCTCTCATAGTCGTTATCTTCATAGCAACGTGTGCAGATGGGGCAGTAGTTTCCTGGAGGGAAACAAGAGACAGTCAGAGGGCTAGGGCTACTACCCATCCCGCAGAGTCCTTGCTCAGGGGCCAACCACACCTTCATGCCACATAGGCTGCCTCCATCACACCTGTCTTGGGTCCATACCATTCCCAAAAAGCTGGCTGAGGGTAAAGTCTCTTTCCTAATTCTGCAGCCCCAATGCCTCACAAAAGACCTCACCTCTGAACAGGTGAGGAAAGCTCAGGCTTTCAAACTGCTCAGTGGAGACTTAAGGTTCCAGGAGCTACCTTAGGAGGTAGATACCAAGGAGTAGAGTCCTAGGCCCTCCACTCCCACTGCCCTCAGAGCGGCTCTGTGTCCCTTTATTTTATACACCACATAGACCGGAAGAGTTCCCTGAACTGAAGAAAAGGTTCCATGGCTAGAAGATGGAAAGCCACTAGAAAAGAGTACCTCTTCTCACTGGCTGCCTAGGAGCCTGGCCCACTCCCCCTGGCCCCCATGGCCCAAGTCCCCTGCCAGGTCCCACCTTTCTCATAGAGCTGGGTGCACCTGGGGCAGAGGCTGTAATCTCCAGACCACTCGACGTCCCAGTTCTTGCCTGGAGTTGCCCCACAGCTCTTACAGCGCACGCAGGCTGAACAGATCTGGGGGAGCAGGGTGACATTAGGGGAATGCCAGACAATATGAGGGAAAGATGGGCAGGGAAGAGTGGAGAGTACATGGGAAATAGATGAGGAAGCACAGAGATGAGGAAAAAATATGTGTAAGAGAGACAAGGAAGAGGAAGGAAATGGTAAAGGAAAGAAGGGGCAGGAGTGGACATCGGGCTAATACAGGGATTCTTAGTCTGGGACTACGGGATCCAGGAGCTCCTGAAACCATTACATACAACTTCTGCACATGTACCTTGCTATTTGAAACTCATGAAGAAGAAAGGTTGTTTATCGAATTCCCCAAGGGATCCCCAACCCTCCCTCTACCTAACAGCCCTGGCCTAGACAAGTCTGGGGACGGTAGTGTTACTAATTATTAAAACTAAGTCATTAATTAGAACACCAAAGCAAAGGGTGTGGACCTCATCTCTCACCCAGTGGCGCCGTTTGCGTGTGGCCCGTGTTGGGTAGCTGGGCCCTAGGCAGGCTGGGTGGTAAGCATGGCGACAGCGCTCACATTCCAGGAGGTGCTGTTAGATATTGGAGAAAGGCAACAGTGACAAGCCTACTCCACAGAGATATCCCCTCCTCATGCCTCCACCCACCCCAGGCTATCCCCATGTCTTGTCCCCAAACCTTGGAGCCCCGGCCTTTGCGTCCACAGACATGGCAGAACTTGCATCGACGGCAGCACCAGGTGTCGTGATGCTGGGGCAAGGGCCGCTCAGCCTCCTCCAGGCAGAACGGGTGGAAAGGGTCGCAGCAGACTTGGCAGAACACAAGCTGGGAGTGGGGGAAGAATGAGTGTAAGGCTGAGAAGCCAGGGATGAGGCTCAGTAAAGAAAGCCCAAGAAATTGGGCAAAATGGGCCAATGAGATTCTGTGAAAAAAGGTAGAGATCTAACCTCATGCAGTCCTTTGCTGGCACAGAGCAAGCACACCATTGGAGGGCCCCCTGGCACAGAAGTGAGCACACTCAGGCCACCCATCAGCCACACGTTCTCTAGGTCACAATCCTCCTGGGGAAAGAGAGGATACGGATTGAAAAGCAGCTAGGAGTGCAAGGAGTACAAGTCAGACACGGCCTTGAAGCACTGGCTTCTCTAACACAACCAACAAGTTTCTTCTAACCACAGGCCTAGCAACCTCAATGCCGTACCTTAAAGTCCACACGAACTCGATGCACACCATCAGGGGACTTCTGCTTTCCAGTCCAGCCATTAGGAAAAGAAGCAAATGGGCCAGGGGCCAAAGAATCCTAGGGAAGAATGGCAGGGTGCTCAGAGAGCTGCCAATCCCACCTTCTATATGCAGACTCTCCACTCTGCTGCTCTGCCCGACAGCCCTGCCTTGTGCCCAGATCCCGCTTTGCTGTCCAGACAGGCAAAGCCTGCCTCATTCCTTGGGACCTGTCCTCTGCTGCTGACACACCATGACACTCGGGTGTGCCTGTCACCCTGACTTGCCACGTAGCATGGGGTGCCTGGAGTGGGCTGTGCTGACCTTGTCCAGGCGCCTTCGGGCCTTGAGCTGCAACACAGGCTGCAGGGTGGGCTTACGGGGCCGGCTTTGCTCCTCAGGTTCTGGCACTGGCAGCTCTAGGCAGGACACATGCACAGTGAGGTCCTTGCCCTTCCAGCCGCATTCCCCCTTGTCTTTCACAAACCTCAAACAGGATCTGGATTTTCAGGGCCTTCAACAGATCAAGACCCACTAGGACGAGTCGTTCAGTAATCTCCCTGAGCACATCACGCACCAATTCTTTTCATCCACCTGAACTTGCGTCCTCCTCTGCCCTTAATCACCTTCTCTCACACTGATAGAGCCCTGTCCCTTCCACACTAAACACAGAACTGGAGCCAGCCCATGGCCTAGTGGTTAAGGGAGCTGGATGCCACATGGCTGACTGTGTAGTTTGAGGCTTGAGAAACATGTCAGGCACATGTGTGCCCAAAATCTCAAAAAGAGGGAAAAATGGAGAAGGGAATTGTGGTGTGACCATTCCCCATGGAGGATGCTTTCTCTCCCTCCCTCTCTGTTCTGAGGGCATGTGTCCTCTGGCAAAATATGGGGGTTGTAGAGACAAAGAACCGATTGCCTGATAGAGAAAGCATCAAAAGGTTCGCACCATTTTCTCGGGGCGTCCGACGCCGAGGAGCAGGGGGACCCCCGGGCTCCGAGTCATCCGAGTCCTCGAAGATATCATAGGAGGGTCGCTGTTTGACGCAGCGCCGAGCTGACTTGCGCTGCAGTAGGAGGGAGTCCTGCTCCTCGGGCCCTGGGGGGGCCACCACCTCCTCCCGGGGCCCCCCAGCTCCCGCCCCCCGGCGTGGGCCTGGAGGACCAGGGGAGGCCTCAGGAGATTCATCGGAATCCCAGGGCAACAGCGTCTTCACTATCGTCCGGCCTGTGGGAACAGGGGACTTAGTAGGATTTGAGCTCAGCCAGGGACATGGGACACTGGGATGGAGAAAAGCCAGAAAGTGGGGCAGAAGAAAACAAATATGGAGAAATGAAAGCACATGACAGAGAAGAAAAATGTGGCAGACTACAAAGATAAGGACAAGAGCAGAGAAAACATGGCTTCCTCCACACAAGTCTACGTAAGGTTTTGTTTAGAAATGCTTCTCAAATCTCATTACCTTTTTTAGCCAGCCGTTCCATCTTCCGAGCCTCTATCTTGTCACACTTTCGGTATCTGGGGAGGGGAGCAGCACGTCACCAGGGTAGGGGACGGGTGGTCTGGGGGAAGAGAGGAAGCTCTCCACAGGATGCCAATCCCACTGCTTTGGCTGGGCAGGAGGCCTGGGAGACTGAAGACTTGGAACAGAAGCTAACCCCAGCTACTCACACGCAGCACTGCTTCTTGGTGTTTGGGCCCCCAAACTTGGGCTTGTCCAGGCAGTTGACACAAGACCCACAGTCTTGCACACGCAAGCATCCCCGACAGTGTCCACACCGAGCCATCCTCATCTTCTTGCCATGGTGGGAAGGGAGCGAGCGCCGGGGCGTGTGGGTCAAAGTCCCTCCAGACCCAGCAGGTTCTAAGTCTCCCCCAGGCCCTGACGACTCCACTTTTCCCCTCTGGGACCGTGATGGGACACTCTCAGTCTCAGATGCCGATGATGTATCTATTGCAGCAGAGAATGGATGGAGCCACAAAGCCGTTAGGCATTCTACCTCATTCCCCATTCTTCCTCAGATCCCATTCAGTCAGCTCTCCAGCTCCCACCTTCCCACTGTGAGAGTTCCAGGTTCCCAAAGCAAACTGTTTCGTTGCTTTGCTCCTAACCCATTGGCTATCTAAAGTATTCAACTCTGCCCTTTCCTAGGCTCTTGGTAAACTTGCTCACCCCACCAAATGTGACACACCTGTCAAGTCTCCCCACAACATAGCAACCCCTACCCTCTGTGGCGAGGTCCTGCCGATCCCGGAGAGGGAGGGCACTGAGGCGGGGGACATCTTCAGGCACCATGGCCCGGGCCTGACCCAGTGCCACAGCAGCGTGACGGCAGACATGTTTGATGCGGGGACCTTGCACAGGGGACTCAGGGCCCTAGGGGAGGAGAAACCAAGAATAGGTATGGGGAACTACTTGCTCCCTATGCTCCTGCAGCCCTGCTTTTTCAACCAGCCCTCGTCAGAGGACTCTTCTCCAACTGCATACCGAGATCCTCTCTCTCTTAGCCTCCAGTGATTCATCTTCAGACTTGACAGAACCTCTGTCTGGGATCTGCTTGACAGTCCCCACGGCCTCTTCCAGTTGCCCTCCAGGGCTCAGCTGGTAGGGGAATAAACAGGGTCAGGGGCTAGAAAGTGAGGAAAGATGGGGACAGGAAAACAGCATAGGAATGGGGTCAGGGAAGGAACACAAAAAGTTGGGGAATAAAGTAAGGACTGGCTTTGAGGGATCCCTGTGACATTGGAGAGTATTAAGAAAGGTAGGAGGTTAAGGGGGCGCAGAAAATAGAAGCTGGATGAACTCAGGTACAGGGGCCGGGCCAAAGCACCATGCTCACCGGCATCAGAGACGCCACCTTCTGCTGCTGCTGCTGCTGCTGCTGCTGGCGCCGGCGGTTGCTGTCGGGGGGCCACTTT